CTTACTATTTATTCTGGTTTCCATAGTGCCAGAGCTAATAATCCCTCTAGCAGCACTGAGGGTCACAGGGCAGGAATGCCTCCGAGTCAGCCCAGGTCTGACAGAGCTTGTGCTGAGACGGAGCTAATAAAATCCTGATGGACCTAAGGTGACCTTGCAAGGTCATACACTGATTCCTAATCCATCCCATAGTGTTTCCCTTATCCTTTGATCATCCTGGATGTTCCTGTGCCACACACTCCCCAGTGATGGAGAGCTGATTTCAGAATCACACTGTTCTCCTCAACCAGCACTCAAAACATACACTGGTGAAGAGAGCAGCCAATTTAAAAAAAAAAAAAAAACAGATCTTGGCTATCCAGGATGCCCACCACTGTTACTCTAGCACTGGTGCAGCACAGAGAGCAGTCAAGGCAGAAGGTGTAGTACTTCATGGCAGCCAAGAAGTGTGCAAGTGAGGTGCTCCTTCTGACCATCATACCAAAGCACTGCTGTAACGTGGCCACATCTTGCCATGTAGCTCAGTGCATCAGACACATGACCCACACAAATCCCCATTGTTTTGTGCAACCTAGGAAAAACCTCTTGAGAAAGTTTGAGAACTACTGCTCTAGTTTGAAAAAGACCATTTTCCAGTTCTCAAAGGTCATATCATCTAGACCTCTGGCCTTTCCTTTTACTCTTCTCTGGATGCTTCCAACAGGCTCAAAGAGTGCTGTTGAGGGCAGAAATAGTACACCAGCCACATAAATGCTAAGTAGAGTGGGAAAATTATTTTGTCTGTCTTACATGCAGACTCCTGTCCATATATTCTAGCATAACATTTATGGCATAGTATTGTTGATTCATAGCCATTTTCTGAACTCTTGCAACTGCCCATCTGTTTTCAGCAGACCTGCTGCCTTACCAGTTATTCTACATTTTGATTTGCACTGCTGATTATTCCTGCCCAACCACAATTTAGAACTTGTCCTTGATGAACTGCATCATATTTATTTTAGATCAGTTCTCCAATATGCCAATTTAATTTTGAATTCTAATCCTGTGCTCAGAGGGTTTACATCCTCTCTCTGGTTGGTGTCATCTGGAAATTTTGCATGCATCTAAGTCATTAATTAAAATATTGAATATTTTCAGGCAATCCAGGGCAGAATCCCACTTGACATATCCTTCTAGTTTGACTATGAATCACTAGTAATTATTCCGAGAACAGCTTTAAAGCCAACTGTGTATCCACCTTGTAGCCCATATTGCCACCTTGTTTACGAAAGGGTGACAAGCCTTCCAAAAACCAAGTTACACTATTTCCTGCTTACATGGAAATTAGGCTCCACTGACAAGGTACTTTCTGGAGAAAAATATGAAAATGCGTTTATCATATTCTTTATTTTAAAAAAACACTTGATTATTTGATTCAAACTTTTTTTCCCAAGAGTTTAAGCTAAGCTACCTACTCCAAATGGGAAAAAGGATGACCGAGGAAAGTTTACATGTAGGTGCAGTGCTTGCTTTGTCACAGCTTTTTTGTACCTAGACTGTCCTCCACATGTTCTCCAGTGTAACCACTAATTGCTCAGACATTGCTTCAGCTATTTCACCCTATGTTGCAGAGATAATTTAATAAGCTCCAGCTTGTTCTAAAATACCTATTATCCTATCTCATTAGTTTATAATCAGTTCTGTGCCTGTTCTAGTTAGAATTCTTACCTTTTTCAAGGTAGCAGTCCTTTTTTTGCCACCTGGTTGCCCTTTTTGGCCAAGAATGATGCAAAAAATGTCATTAACTACTTGGTCCCCTCTGTACTATCAGATCATGCGTTTTGTCATTCCCTCTCAACTAGTAGTCCAGAAACTCAGTCTTTCTTTTATTGAGAACATAGCGAGTTTCCTTGTTACTGTGTTCTTTATTAACTATACTTTGGCTTTGTGCCTTGGTCTATCTGATTTGGCCCTTGCATTCTTCTAATGTTCTTTTGCACTCATCTCTAGCAATATATCTAGTTATCACTTTCTATGAGTCCCCCATTTTCAGATCATGAAATTTTGTCTCTTCTTACACTTTATTTTTTTATTGGGACACCTTTTATTTGTATTTTTAATACTCTTTATGGTGACTGGAAAAGAAAAAGATAGTTCCTTTAGAAATTGCCAGCCTTCCTTAACTTCTAAGGTTTGTTTCACAAGAAATGTTGCCTATCAGTTCTACGAGCTGAATGCAATCTACTTTCTTGCACGCTATTGCTTTTATTCTTAAGTTCTCTCTTCTCTTCTGAAGAATGATAAGCTCACTCTTTCATGATTGCTATCATTCAAATTGCCTTTTACTATCATAGGCTTGGCCATCTTTTTCCTAATCCAGCCTGAGCATACAGACAGGATCAAAATATCTCCTAGCCTTAACTGTAAGCTTTTCCAGGTCACAGCAATTAGGAAGGTGGAAAGGAGGTTTACGAAATACTCTGAAGGTGGCTACACAGAGGCATCGTCCTCCCAGGCTTCTTTTGCCAGCACTCTGTTCAGTTGTAAATTGACACGATTACTCTGATTGTTGCAATAGCTGCAATCACTTAGCATGGCTAGATTCAGTGTTGACACTGCACAGGTTTCAGATATCAAAGCTTTTTCTGTACAAATTAGCTCCCTTCTGCATGTGGTTGTGCCCCCTTTGCTGCTACCAGCTCCTGTTTTTTCCTACAGCTTAAACTGGCATTCCAATAAAATAAAAGTAGCAGTATAGCAAGGATCAGAGGAGCAACCATATGCACCTGCCATTACACTTTTATTGCAACTCTTAAATTATCATAACACAGTCCAATGAATTTATCTAAGAAATACATACCTACCCACTGTTTACAGCTGAACGCATTATATAACATGGAATGAGAGAGATCTCCAGAAAGCAAATATGGATATCGATTTCATACGAGTTGGAAGAAACAGAAGTCATTGCCTTCTTCTTATATAAAGCAATGATATTTCCCTGTTTATTTTACAAGTCTCCTGCCCATTTCCTTTACAAGTCTCCTGAATGTATGGTCCAACTTAAATCAATGTTTAATAATTCTTTACTACAGTTACCAAGATTTTAAAATGTTTTATTAACATCTTTACCTGAGGGCAACTCCAAAAGAACATAGGAATTCCTTACGAGAGACCAAGGAACCCTCACGCTGTCAAAGTCTCTAGAATAGGTCTGAATCTGCTGGGCTGTCATCACAATCTGTCCTGGGCCTCCAGGGACCCAATTTCATCTCCCTGGATTTTATGCAGCATTATTTGCCAGGTCTCTTCCACCCAGCAGCAGTCATGAGGTAACCAGCTTTCTGACACCCCTCCGCCCAAGGACCCTGAGTACAGTGCCAACAATCCCTGCCTGCTGGGATCGAAGGGACAGCAGATACTGTGGCAGAAGAGTGTAAAGCTGGAAAGAATATGATATAATATTGCAAAGGTGCTAAAGGTAATAAGGTTTTCAGCAAAGTAGAGAGCCACAGAAGGCAGGGCAGGTAAGAAAGAGAACAGATATCCACATGGTAGGAATTTTAGTGGAGAGCAAAGGAGTGGCAAAAGCTCTCAGGAATGAGCTGAGGGCTGGCAGAGAGCAGCGAAGAGGAAGATACATGAACAGGACAAGAATGGCAGAGGAGAGCTGTAGCCAGCCAGGCAGAGGCAGGAGGGCCCTGCGGTGGCCCCAGACTTCACATCTCCCATCAGTGCTGGACCACACGTGGAGCAAAGCTTCCCATTTCCTTTCCTTGAAGACGTGTCTCACTGACACACATGGAAACAGTGTGGTAAATCAAAGCAACATGAGGCAACGGAGACAGTTCAGAACTGCAGTACAGGGCCAAAGCAACACACTGGTGAGGACAGCCCAACACAGAGCTGCCAGCAGGTGGGACCAGTCTCTGTGAGGGTGGATCTGCTTTGGAAAAGGGCAAAGTGAGAGCCTGCCCGCAGGGAAATGAACAGGTTTGCTATTCCTCCCAAGGAAGAGCTCCCAGAACAGCAGGGAGCCCAGAGTAAAGCAGCCTGAAACAGAAGATGATCTTCCTGTCTGTGCAATCCCTAAATCAGTAAACTTCTAAAGGCAAAAATTTTAAATTGGAAAAAATTAGCATCTCACACATCACTAACTTTCACTGTGGTACCAACCCATTATCTAGATTTACTACAGCAAGAGGAATACCCAGTTGATTTTCTACCTATTTCTCGCAGGGTCTCAGCTGGCCAGCAGATGTGGAAACAAAGCAGCAGGATCTTCTGATCCCCACCCATTTCCTTCTCCCACCTCTCAAATCGGAAACCAGTCTAGACAGGGATAGCACTGAATGAACTCCAGCAGGCTTCACACTAGAGGGAGCTTTCCACAGAGAGACACACCACCTTGGCATCCCCCTTCTCATTACATTATTTTCAAGGCATCTACAGGGCAACACATTGGACTCGGGAGAAAGAGTTACCATTTAAACCCTCCGGTTTTGCCAGTCCAAGCACTGCAGCATGTGAATGGTGCACAGCAAGAGGGAGTACAAGGAGAAGGTACCTGGCACGTTCTGCCCCCAGATGTGCTCTGGCTGACAAGATAAAGCTCAACACTGCCATGCTCCTGAGAAGCCTCCTGATATGACCAGTGTCAATCCTGCTCCCTCTCCAAACTTCCATGTTGAACATAAGAGCATCCTAACAGATCACATGTTATACTGACCCAGGAGGCCACTCACTGTTAAGCTGTTAACGAGCACTTTAACAAGGAAAGCTGAGATACACCCTCCCTAAGGCTTGTGGCCATCCATTTCAGAGGGCCTGAAATACGGATAACTGTATTGCTCACTGTTAATACAAGTGTTGAACTGTTCCTCCAGTGAACTGCTTTAAAATACTATTTAAAATGAAAATACTACAAGGCACTAATGACAGCCAGGACCGATTTGATTTATTTTCTGAATTCCAGTAAACTGTCCCAAAACTATGAGCTGAACTAGAACAGAAGTCCTTACCTGTGAAAGCATTTGTGGCCTGAAAACCAGCTTCCTGCATACTGCTCTCCCAGTGAAGCTTGAGATTCCCGTCTTAACCTGTCCTTACTGGAGACAACTGCTGAGCTTGGAGCTGTCAAGTCACTTCCATCTTAGCTCGCCAGAGTCCATTTCTCTTTCCATCCCTGTATTTGGCACCATCCAGTTCCTACCTGATCCCAGGTTTTTCAATCTGTAGACAGAGGGGATCTGAACCGAATCCAAGCAGGAAGCGTTGGACAGTCCCATCAACCAGCCAGCCAGAGGATTTGGGCCATGATGAATGCGGAAATGAAGCAAATCGCCTGCCAAGACTTTATTTCCCTTTCACAATTAAGTTCTAATCCTTTGTTCATCCAGCACCATTTTTTCAGGTCTCGGCCAATGGTGATGTTCAATTGTCTCTCCTCCCTTGTGTTCCTCTCCCCTCAGGCACGCTCACTGAGAAATTAAAAAAGAAGAGATTATGTTTCCTGATGACCTGTAGCAACATTAAAATTAACAGACTCCAGGGAACAAAAACCCAAAACACATTATCAGGGATTGATTGTACACATTAAAGGAGATCTTCAGAAGGCAAATATTGCGATTTTGCTGAGATGCAAAGTGTGACCACACAGCTCTTTGAAGTGCAAAGAGGAACAGTGCTGAGGGTGTCATATGCATCTCTGAGAACATGATATGATTTACATTTCAAAAGCCATATTTAGCAGAGATGGGGGCAGCAATACAATAACAAAATTGCAGTTAAAAGGGAAAAGGAAAAATACTCAAGGCTCTCAAGTCTAGTCTATTCAAAACCACAGTGAGATTATCAGCATTTCATATAGCTGCTTCCCTTCTTTTCTGGAGCAGGAAGAGAGAGCACTGTCTGCCGGCACTATATACGCCATTCTAACAGTCTTCTGAGATTAAAAACCTTTGTATGTCTGTGCTGTCGATTATCTGTTTAAAATCTCAATTGGAACACAGATGACGCAACTCGGATGTCTCCAGACATTCAGTAACGTTAAAAATACCCAAAGGCAGAAAGGTGGTTAATACAAGAGAAAGGTGGTTAAGCTTTTCTTGATCCTACTACTTTTCCATCACACAGGTATCTACAATTCACTGAAAACTAGAGCTGCAGCACATCCAGCTTTTAAAAAACAGGATACATTTACTTTTAGGAGGTGAAGGCAAACAGCAGACAGGCACATGTTTATGGAGAAGATTATTTTAGAAAGAAAGAAAGAAAAAAGAAGAAAGAAAAGAGGACTTCGGAAGCGAACCGACTCACTCCTCGGCCATTCTGCTCCTTCACGTAGTAATGCTTGGCTCACTATCCCCCAGTTCGGTGGCACAGGCAGGCTGAAACTACGTCTGTGATGATCTACTAATGGACTTCAGCTAATGAGTCTAGCCAGGGCTTGCAGTACTGGACTGGACCCAAGGTCCATCTACTGGAGCAGCCCGTATCAGAGGGTGCCAGTGTCACAGAGAACAGCGGGCAGGGGTGAATAACTATCACCCCCTCCCCAGCCCCACCTCACCCTTTAGCCTGACCTGCAGGACCTAGAGACTGGCTTGTATCCTAAAGCACAATGCTGAACAGCCCAGACGGTCCAAAACTACAGAGAAGATTCTCATGCTCTTTGGGGCACCTTCTGCTCCACAGGCACTGCCAAATGCGCAGCAAGCCGGCCCTCAAGGGCTTCGTTAAGGCCCTTTCTTGGGGGAAAAAAAGATTTCTTCTCAGGTGTGTATCACTGCAACCAAATGAGCCCGACATCTGATGAATGCCATTTTCCTCAGAACACACTGAATAAAAGCTAGCTCCTAACAAAGACAAATTTTCTATCCTAATGATGTCGCTGCTTTTTCCTCACGATTTTGTGAAGCCACTATTACTGGAGAACACACGTTTTTGTCTCAAAACACAGCACAGGACTGACTGATTAGTTACTTGTATTCAAATCGAGTAATTTGCATTCAAATCAGATAAGGTTACAGAACATATTTAAGATGTTTTCCCCATTTTTACCCAAATAGAGGAGAAAGTAGAAATTAAGAAGAAAAAAAAACCCTGAAAACAATGCCTTTAAAACTAGTATTTCGTATCAGAAAAAGCTGCATAATAAATTTTAGAATCATGTTTAAAATTCTATTATTCCTGAATTTCAGCTCCTCAAGATGCTTTTTCAGCCCTTTGAAGTGTTCTATACAACTAATAACCATTTCGTATGAGGTTATTTTATTCTAAAATACATACAACTGCATCAGTATAATGTACACACACTGCAGTACGTATTTCTTTTGGCTCTTAACATTGTGCTAACTATTCTATAATGACTACAGATGGATGCTGCACTCATTTCCCAAGCTTTTTCTCTAGAGGCCCAAGTTTCTTTTATATTTATAAGAACAGGTCTGTATTTGCATTCACATTTTCATCAGCCTCATAACTTTTGATTTTGGTTTATAAATCCACAATTTTGATGCCTTCTATTTTCAGCATTTTAATTTTTCTCCCCATCATAGAGAAGCTCAAGAGATGTGCACTAATACCTTAGCATCCAGGGAAATTCTCTTATTGTTATCTCTTTGTATTAAATATTATATACTTCTCACTCTTAAAAGAATGAAATACGTTCACTTTCTTGAAAATTAATTTTTTATTAGGAGAAGAATTAGTTTCCACATCTTCAGCATTTCTGCTGAACAATTTAAGAACCCAACAGTGAAGAAACTCTACTTTCAGCAACCGCTGCTTCTTCAGACAGAAAGATGTCATTTTAACAACGTTACAGGACACTGAAACACTTACAGAGTTCATTCAGACCTTAAAATTTAAAAGGTAGTGCACTGCATCAGGTTTAAGTTCTCCCTTAAGGCCTCGAGTGAAAGAAGATACTTATATCTCTTGATTGCCCAAAGTGAGCATTTTCTGTCACTGCAAAAGCACCCTTCTCTCCCTAGGCAGATAATGAGCTCAGAGGTGGCTGGCAGGACAGGAGCAGGGAGCCGGAGCAGGCTGCTGGGGCAAGCCTGGGCAGTCCTCAGCACTTGCTGGGCCTCTTCACAACTCAAATCCCAGTTCAGTACTTACAAAATGCTTCAGGCTTATGGCTAAGCAGGCTATTTAAAGAGTATTTTCAACAGGCAGACCTTTCATCAACCACATTTGCATGAAAATTTCAGGTCTGTCAGATTTCTGATGCATCCAGATGAAGAGAAGACAACAAACCGGCCTAGTTGACACCACAGCAAATCAGGCAAATGGCAAATTCCATTTTTTAACAGCATGTAGAGCTATGACCTTTCTATTGTACTTTAGAATCATAGAACCATAGAATCATCTAGCTTGGAAGGGACCTTAAAGATCATTTAGTCCAACCATCAACCTAACTCTGACAAAAAAAAAAAATAAGAAATAAGCAATAAAAAAATCACTAAACCATATTCCTGAGGACCATGTCAACCGGTCTTTTGAACACCTCCAGGGATGGTGCCTCAACCACTTCCCTGGGCAGCCTGTTCCAATGCTGGATAACCTTTTCTGTGAATAAATGTTTCCTAATATCCAATCTAAACCTCCCCTGGTGCAACTTGAGGCCATTTCCCCTTGTCCTATCTCCTGTGACTTGGGAGAAGAGACCGACCCCTGCCTCTCTGCACCTCCCTTCAGGTAGTTACAGAGCGCGATAAGGTCTCCCCTCAGCCTCCTCTTCTCCAGACTGAACAACCCCCGCTCCCTCAGCCTCTCCTCATAAGACTTACTCTCCAGGCCCCTCACCAGCTTTGTTGCCCTTCTCTGGACCCGCTCCAGCACCTCAATGTCTTTTTTGCAGGAAGGGGCCCAAAACTGGACACAGTACTCGAGGTGAGGCCTCACCAGTGCCGAGTACAGGGGGACGATCACCTCTTGGGTCCTACTCACCACACTATTCCTGATACAGGCCAGGATACCATTGGCCTTCTTGGCCACCTGGGCACACTGCTGGCTCACGTTCAGCCCACAGGCCACTAACACCCCCAGGTCCTTTTCTGCCAGGCAGCTCTCCAGCCACTCTTCCCCAAGCCTGCAGCGCTGCCTGGGGTTGTTGTGGCCCAAGTGCAGGACCCAGCACTTGGCCTTATTAAAACTCATCCTGTTGGTCTCAGCCCATCAATCCAGCCTGTCAAGATCTCTCTGCAAAGCCTCTCTCCAGCAGGTCGACACTGCCACCCAGCTTGGTGTGGTTTGTGAACTTACTGAGGGTGCACTCGATCCCCTCGTCCAGATCATTGATAAAGATGTTAAAGAGAATTGGCCCCAGTACCAAGCCCTGTGGGACACCACTCGTGACTGGACGCCAGCTGGATTTAACTCCATTCACCACCACTCTCTGGGCCCGGCCCTCCAGCCAGTTTTTAACCCAGTGGAGAGTATTCCCATCTAAGCCATGGGCAGCCAGTTTCTCCAGGAGGATACTGTGGGGGACTGTATCCAAGGCCTTGCCACAGTCCAGGTAAACAACATTACACTATCAAGAAAATTTCCATTAAAGCTGAACTGATGTTTAGAGACAGAGGTTTGTGTTTGTTTCCTAACAGACAGGCATGTTTGCACACACAGACCGAGCCGGGACCCTGCTGATGCATTTCGGTGTGGCTCAGCCAACTCCACTGAACCTACACGTTTATCCTTTTGTACCAGTGGGTGCAAAAATGTTAAACCAACCCACTTATAGGACTGAAAAGAAGAGAAAATACATACCTGAAAAAGAGAGAGGGATATAAACAATTCTAATAGAACTACAATAAGGTGTGATCTTCGATGCAACTATTATAGTTTTCAAAACCTGCAGAGCCCCCAGTGGGAACATGTCCCATTATACTGATCAGATGGCAAAGAGAAAATCTAGACTAGAGAGACTAGAGATTTTCTCTTTGCTCCATCTGTCACCTCCTTTCCAACTGCCACAGGAACTCTGCTTTCCACTTCTGCTTTCATTCATCCACTGCAGTGTTACCTGAGTCTCAGAAGCAAATCAAAGCAAACATTGTGTTTTATAAATATGTAGCTGTGCTATAAAAGATTTTCAGCTATTATGTGCTTACATGATTGAATACCTAGGGAAAAATGAAATCCATTTGTTTTCATCCTCTCCACATTTTTCAGATTTGGTCCTGGGAAAGACACCACCATCTGAACCTCACACAAGTTGCAAACAGAAAATATTTTGACTATTTAACACCTTATGTGAGGTACATGTTCTCATGGTATATTTAGCCAGTCAGCCTGCTATTCCTCTTTTCTAAACATTTGAAGATGCAGTATTAAAGGGCCGCTGTAAAAAAAGAACCTGAAAAAGAAAAGTAGCCACTGAGTGTCATTAAATCCTGCAATAATATCTACATTTTATGAAGCCCTGTGCAATCATCAGTCACGGCCAAGCCCGGAGGAACTTGCCACTGAA